TTAAGGAGCTTTTTAAAATACTGACTCAAATTGAAATCGCCTTAAAATTACAGATTCCTAGCTCTACCCTCAGATCAGTGAAATAGAATTACCTGCAGATGGAGGGGCCGAGCACTGGTATTCTAAAAATCCTCCCACATATGTTCTTCTCAGGGGCAGCCTGGGTTGAAAACTACTGAGCTAGAGAAATGAAAGCTATGTCTTGGCTATTTTTGCAGGGTTTTCTGGGATGTTTTTTTCCCACTATTGTTGGTTTGGTAACATTTGTAGGTGGAAAGAAGAGCCACAGGGAGAGATCATACCCCCGGGAGGAGGCTTCATTGTTGTTGGCTCTGTTGTTAGGGAAACAGGCATTGAACAGGCTAAACCTACCTGGCAGGTGGACGTGTGTGTGCCAGCGCATGAACGCACACAAACACACACGTACACACAAATGCACACACATACACATACACGCACACACTTACACTCTCAAACCTTCTTCCCAGTGGAAAAGCCCTTACATTGGTCACCTAGTTGGACATGCAGGGTATACAGTAATCACAGGGGCTGATGTCCTCAGGCCTCAATTTCTAATTTGTTCCCTAATCTCTTGTTATCCACACTCTTGTTTCCTACTGATCTGACCCCTAATCCCAGCTGCTCGAGAGGCTGAGGCAGGAATACTGCAAATTCAAGGCCAGCCTGGGCAGCTTAGTAAGAACTTGTCTCAAAATAAAAAGGACTGGGCATGTAGTTCATGGCAGAGAGCCCCTGGGTTTAATCCCTGGTTCTCCCCCCCTCCCCCCAAAGAAAGAGAGAAAAGAAAAAAATATTGAATTTATGTCAGTGAAATTAAAAACTCTTATTTTATGATCCTTGGGGACTTTCTAAACCTTATAAATGCTATATCTTTCTTCTATCAAGCAAAAACATCCTTTTTTTTTTTTTTAGGTATTTTTAGGTATTTGTGATTTAGTGTAATTATGACAAAAAGGCTTACATATATACCTTAAACATATATGATTTTATTTGTCAATTGTACTCAATAAAAAGTGAGTTAAAAATTTGAAAAAAAGGTTTACCAAAGACACACTTTAAATATAAGGACACAGATAGGTCGAAAGTAGAAGAATAGATGGGAAAAGTATACTCTGCAAACCCCAAGCACGGAGAACTGGTATGGTTCTCTCATGATCACAGAGTAGACTTCTGTGGATCGATCGATCCAAACTCAAGCTGCAAAAGTAAAAAGGACTTTGGGGTCTTAGGGATTACATTTCAGAAACACAGGTTCAGATAGTTCCAGATCAGTGTTCTGAAGAAGGGAGGGAAAGTGGGAATTTTATGTGAGCAAGCAGTGTTGTTTTATTTATAAAATAGCACAAATTCTTCGTGGAGAAGCTCCTGTTGGAGTTGAGAACAGGGGCCCTGTTACAGGGGCCATGTGGTGATGGAGGCTTAAGAAAGGAATATAGATACTTGGTAAAATGTATATAAATTAAAAGTCCATGTGGAGTCCCTGGCACAATGTAGTTATATGTTCCAGGTGCCACAGTCAAAGCTGGAAGAGACCAAAACACTCCAGGGAGCAGCTTGAGTGGTGCCTAAGTCCTGCTCCCTTACTGGCCTCCTTGGTCTTTTTGCAAAACTCTTCCGATGTGTTGCTTTCCTTTTGTTTTCTTTTTTTTTTTTTGGTACCAGGGATTGAACTCGGGGCCTTGAGCTCTCGAGGCAGGTGCTGGAACCACTGAGCTAAATCCCTGGCTCTTTCCCTTTGTCTTCACATTCTGAGGTAAGGAGTCTGAACAGAGGGGATCTCTCCATACGCCCCTCCCCGTGTCCCAGCACTGCACCTCCTTGACTCTAGGTACTGTGGTTGGGCTTTGTTCCCGAGAGCAGGAGCCTCAGCCCAGGCAGGAAACCTGGCACAGTGTGTCTGCATTGTTTTTGTTGTAGCAGAACAACGAGAGCCCTGGGTAATTACAAAGAATAGAGATTCATTTAAGAGTTCTGGAGGGCGGGAAGTCCAAGATCAAGGCTTGCATCTGGCCGAGGGCCTTTCTGAGTATCACCCCATGCCAAAAGGCAGAAGAGCAGGGCGAAGAGAGAGCATAACCACCCACTCTTGGCATGAGGATGCTAATCCATTCCTGAGGGGAGAACCCTCCTGACCTAGTTACCTCTCAAAGTTCCACCCCTCAGCGCTGTTGCAATGGGGATTAAGTTTCCAATACATGAAAACCATAGTGGGGAGTCTGGGGCCCACCTCACCAATGTTCCATGACCCGCACGGGTCCCTACAGCTCCTCCTTACACTGCCCCAGTCTGGATTCCTCCTACCCCTCTTCACCACCTTCACTCATCTTGGAGGAGGGGAGGCTTTGGCATAATCTCATCTAGGAATTTAGCTTTTACAAAGGCCAGGAAGAATCTTTCCAGCTGCCTGAATCCCCAAGGCAAGGGGCTGCTCCTGCTAGTTGGAAATGGGTACAGGTGGCAGGGAAGAAAGGAAACCAACCCCAAATTAGTATTTTAACAATGGATCCAAGCCTTGAGCCTCCCCAGGTGTCCATAGTTGGCAGCTCATTGTTTTTGCTTAGGGCTCATCTAGTCTTTTGTCTCTTTGGACCACAGTATAGAGATGCTTTCTCTCTACCAGCACTTCTACCCCCAGCCCCAAGATTTAACTTGTCTAAGGTAGCATTTACTGTTTTCAAGTGCCCTGTGTGGTCTAGCAGCACTGCGTCATCAGGGCGCTTGTGGGAAATGCAGATGGTCAGACCTGTTCTATCAGAGTCTTCATTTTAATAAGATCCAGGTTAGTTTTGTAATCATACAATTTAAAAAGCACTGGTCTAGGGGTCGCCTATCACGCTGATAATGAGTGGAAACAAGAGTCTCTGTTTTTCAATCTGCCTGCCTCAGCCTTCCAGTGTGATAGGACTGCAGATATGCTACCATGCCCAGCTAGGACTGCCACATATTTTAAAATACGTTTAAAACAAGTAAGATAAAACCATGAACATTTTGCTTATTACATTAGCAAAACTTAAAAATGAAGAGACTGAGGGAAGAGAGCTGGGTAAGGCTGATTGGCTGGGGAAGTAGGCATGATCTCTTTATTACAAAATCCCAGGGCATATGCACAGAACACCTCCCAAAGCCATGCACCCGACTTCTTGGGACAACATGAGCAGGTTTGGAGAGGATAAGAATGGCCTAGACCTGACCTGTTAGCCTGAGAAGTGAGAGATACAAAAACACAGTTGCCACTGAGCTCAGGGATACTGAGATCTTTTACAGCATTCCACCCTCATGCTGGAGATTGTACTTCTTTTCCTGCTTTTTCTTGGCCCAAGCTTGCTCTGCAGAGCCTGTTGCTTTTCCTACTTTTAATAAATGTAAAACCTTGCTACCGTTTGTGCTTGTCTTGCCCAATTCTTTGCTCAGGACAGACAGAATCTAGAAAACACCTCTAGGAGAAGACTCCGGCACCCCAAAACCTGGTAACAAAATTGTATCATATTTTTGATGAGTATGTTTTGGTTAGACACTGCTACAACTTATTTGAGAAATCTTAGAACAATCATAGTTTTTAAAGGAACGACTGTCTTTTGATAACTTGACCTTAGGTAAAAATGTATGTTGCGATGGAGCCGCAAATATAAAGGAGTTTTGTGGCCATAGCTTAGTTGTTTTCTGCTCTTCTTTTTTACTAACAGAAGCCTAGTTTTGTGTGTGTATGTGGGGGAATGTGCTTGGTGAAACATTTTCTGGATTCTTTACAGATAGGCGTGGTCAATGAGATGTGAGCAGAAAGCATTGAGAGGCATTTCCGGGAAAATGTTTCATGAGGGGAATCTGCTCAGCGCCCTTCTGACCTATAAGGCCAGCTCGAACTTAGTGGGGCTGCTGGAGAATGACAAATTCCCACTGTGTTAGTCAGCTTTCTGTTGCTGGGACAAAATACTTGACACACTCAACTTAAAGGAGAAAAGGTTTATGTTTTTGGCTCATGGTTTTAGAGGTTTCAGTCCATTGTTGACCAGCTCCAAGGCAGAAATGGCCTGGTGGAGGAAGCTGCTCACCTTGGGGCAGCCAGAAAGCAAAGTGCAGGGGAAGAGCCGGGGTGGGGGGGCAGAGGCTAGAGACGATATACCCCTCAAATCCATGCTTCAGGGACCCACTTCATCCAATTAGGCTCCCTGCCCTCATGATCCAGTTGCCTCTCTAGGCCCCAGCTGAACTTTCCTGCATTGGGTATCAAGCCCTCAGTGTATGAGTCTTTGGTGGACCCCCCACTAAACCAATGCCACCACTACCTCCTTCTGGATGTTTTGTTGCCTGAGAAAAAGAAAATCTTCATTTGGTTATGTCACTGTCTTTTAGGAGTTTGATATTTATAGCTGCTCATCACTCCTAACATCCCCAATGTAAATGTTCAGACATAGGGACCTGATTAATAAATTATCATGGATACACATAGTGAAACACTATACAGCATTAAAAAATCATGTAGAACTGTGGTTTCAAATTATTTCTTTGCAGAGGATGCCTCCCCTGCTTATATTCAGTCTTTCAAGAAATCCTAGTAGCTCTGTTAAAAGTAGAGCTACTGTATTGACCTAGACACTGAAGACTCATACTCTTCTCTTTCTATTTTGCAAAAGGTACCCTTTGGGGAGGCCCCTAAACACCTTCGCAGGCCTAAAGAATTTGCTAAAGCTTAGAATGCAGTTTGAAAACCAGGGTTGGAATTATCTCTATACCTAAGTGAAGAAAGCTCGTGTGACTTTGTAAAGCAAAGAAAGCAGCTTTCTAAAGCTATGATCCAGTTTTATGTTATCAGTACAAATTTCCCCAGGCTTCACCAGTCTTTTGTTAAAAACAAAGGCACATTCATAGGAATTATCAAATGCCCTTGGAGGTGGCCTCATTTGTGTAACAGCAGCACCCTCTTCCTCAGTCTTCCCAGTTGTCCCTGAGGGGACTTAGAGGTGTTTTCTACCTTTCAGAAGCACGGATCCATCAGCTCCTGGTTTCTATCACCTGAAGAGGTGCCTGGGAACAGTCTCAGCCCCTGTTTCTGCTGATGGTGCCCCAGGAGAAGTTGGGGTCTGTCCAGAACACCCACTATAGGTCCACCTTGTGTTCTTCATGCTCCGAAGACCACCATGGGGACAGCAAAAAAACCCAACTCTGTAACCCGTTACTCATTAAAAGCACGATTTGTGTTTGCTTCTGAGGCAACCAGAGACTGAAAAGCTGTTTTTGTTTAAAAAATAGTATCTCGTCATTTGGGCCCAATAAATAACTAAAAGAACAAAGCTTGATCTTCATTTTTACCTGTTTCTTTTATTACCTTCAAACTTTGGGTGAAATCCTTGCTCAGCCCTGCATTGGCATGTTAATTATTTAGGGAATATCTGTCTAAAGGCTGGCAATACAAGGTTGTACTAGTCCTAAATTTACAAAACCTAGCTTATCCTGTCTCAAGATAAGGGATTTACAAGGTCATTTAACTACAAATGAGTACCCAGAAATCTCCAGCATTGCCCTAAACTACGGTCACCTTGGATTCAGGCGGAGCCTCCACAAAACAGACTGCCACAAACAGAGAAAATCATCTCACAGAGGCTGGATTAAAGGATAAGGTCTTCTACGAGCCACCTTGCAAAAGTAGGTGTGAGGGAATGATCAACCAGACCTTAGCCCATCCCAGCACATCCACAAAAGCTGGTCTTGTCCTTTAACAGGCCTGCCCGATCCTCTTCATCCGAGTTGTGTCCCTTTCTGCTCTTCAAGCCAAAGTCCCTTCCCTACTTTTTCTTTGTAACTCTGCTAAAGAAATCTGCCTATGTCTCACACTGATGCATTTGGAAATTCTTCCTTTCCTTTCCTTCCCCTCTCCCTTCTCTTCTCCATCCTTTCTCTTCCTTTTTTGCCATAGTGAGGACTGAGCCCAAGGCCTTTGCACTGGGCTACTTCCCAAGCCCTTTTAATTATTTTCAGACAGGTTCTTGCTAAAGTGCTACATTGGCCGGGCTAGGCTTGAACGTTTGATCCTCCTAACTCAGTCTCCCAGAGTGCTGGGGTTACAGGCATGCACCAGCATGCCCACCTTGGAAATTCTTCTGTGATGATGAGTCAAGAACCTACTCCACAGGGTAAGTTGAAGTCCTGTCTCCTCTGTTGGGGGTGAGGATGGGGAGCTTCTTGGACCCTGTCCAGCGAGACCGCCCCTACATGCACTTCGGTCCTGCTGGGCAGGGCTCTGCCAGTTTCCATAAAGAACCAGGAAGATAAATAAACAGCCTTCTTTAGGGCTGAGCTGCATGGCAGCAGGCTGAGACCAGAGGCCATGAAAGCAGACAGCATTTCCTGCTTACTTGCTACATCCAAGCACATGGCACCAACCTCCCAGCACCACCTACTACCGTTGGTCCATGGAAGGGCCTCAAATTTATTGGCTTTGGCTGATCTGCTGCCCTCCCCCACTCCATGTGTGTTTATTAAAACTATGTAAATTGGAATTTAAAAATTTAATAATGGTGCTATGGTTTGTGTCGAGATGTCGTCCTGCCCTGCAAAGCCTCATGCTGCCATAGGTGTGAAATTTTCCAGAGGTGGTTGAATCTAGATTTTGTGACTCTGACATTAAGGATGTGTGATTACTAAATTAGTCTACTGATTGGTCAGTAATCTAGATAGAGTATTAAAAGAGCAGAAAGAAGCTGCTAAGGTCCCTTGCTTGCTTTGCTACCTTCTGTCTACCCTGAACTGTTTCTCCTCTGCAGTGCCCGTCTGCCATGTCACCCTACCTGGGAGCCAGCCGATTATGTACTGAAACCTCTACAAACTGTGAGCTAAATAAACTTTTCCTCCTTTAACTTTGGGTGTTGGGTACTTGGTCCCAGCAAGGATAAAAGTAACTATGACACGTGGTAATTCTTGAATGGCTAGACTGGAGTGCTTACATGTTTTCCTTAATTTAAAAAAGTTTCTACAATAAACATGTATTACTTACATTTAAAAAATTGGGATGCCTCTGAAGTTAGTTCTGACTGTAATCACTGGATACTCTTAACTGCTTAGCATAGTTAAGTGTGAGTTTTCTGCCATCCAAGGTAGAGTATTTTACCTGTGACCTTGAAGGAGTGAAAATGGGAAGGGGAGGGGACAACATGGCACAGAAATGTACCATACATGTAAAAACTCATGTAGAATTGTGCTTTTGAGGCAGGAGATTAGGGTGTGGCCAGCCAGCTCAGCAAGTGGGCGTGACCTGTCCATCTCTGTGACCAGGACCCATGAACCCAAGCCCTGCACCTAGGACCAATCAGAAAACGCTATCTTCAATTGTTCTGGCACAAAACCAAGCCAGTTTTTGATAGGATAGCGTGGTCCCATTGCAAACTCTTTCAGTGGCCCACTGTACACTCTGCAGAGCGTACTCCTTTTCCCCCCTTTAATAAATGGAAAACCTTGCTACCTTTTGTGTGTGTCTCATTCGGTTCTTTGTTCAGGACAACAAGAACCTGGAAAGGATCTCTGGGAAGAGTGTACAGCACACCAGACCCCAATAAGAGTTTCAAATTATTTCTAGTAAAGAACATTGCTTAAATATCGAGCCATTCATAGAATCCTAGTATCTATGTGCAGTGGGCCCTCTATATTTGTGGGTTTTGCATTTGTGGATTTAACAAACTGTGGATTGAAAACATTCAGGAAATAAATTGCATTTCTGCAGAAGGTGTGGAGACTTTTGTCATTATTCCCTAAACAATAGAGAGTAACTATTTACCTAGCATTAACATGGTATCAGGTACTGTATTACAAATAATCTAGAGATGACTTTAAGGGTGCAGGAGGATGTATGTAGGTTCCATGCAAATATACACCATTTTCCATAGGGCCATGAGTACTGTGGATTTGGGTACCCTTGGGGGTCCTGGAACCAGACCCTCACGGAGCCCAAGGGACAACTGCACATGTGTACAGAAGGCTGGGACAGCCTGAAGTCTGACAGTGCATCTCCACAAAGCCCAAACCTGCTTCCTTCTGGGATATGGTGACCTTTTCTCTCTTGAGTGTTTGTTTGCTGAGCTTCTTGGCCCAAAACTGGTGGCAACTGACTACGGGAACACAGGCTGACCATGAAGGGAGATGCATCACAGACCCTCCATTTAGGGGCATCCCTCGGTTCTCACAGTGGCACATCAGAAACAGGCAAATGTTAGTAGAAAGTGGAGCAGGGGCCCCCAGTGCAATGAAGTTAGTAGGATCAGGCAGGGGGTTAGTATTACAAAGGATGAGGGTGGTTTTCACATGGAAAGCCATGAAATGTCCTAATTCCCATTAAATTCTTTCTTTCTTTTTTGCTGCCAAAGGCTGTGTGGGCCTCAGGCTGATTTGCAGAAAGGTTCATTCACATGATGGGGCTTTCAACTCAGATGGGCACCAGAGGAGTGGGTTGGGGCAGCTGCACAGAGGGTCTCTAGTCAGTCTAGTTCATTAGTGCTTTCTGCCGAGGAAGCCCACATGGTGCCATGGATTTGAGACCTGTTGTAGGAGACAAAATTTCACAGTCCCCCTTTCACTGTTACAACAAAAGAGATCTCTCCCTGTGCTTTGTGGAGACTCTGTGGTCCTACTTCGGAGTCTCTTCCAATAGGGATTGGGATGATGACCCGGCAGATAGCTCCTCCCAGCTTTGGGTCCAGACTGCTCCTCTGGATCTTCTTGCTTCCTTCTTATCATTGTCCTCTGCCCCAGAATTTCTGCTATCCCCATCCCACCCTGTAGTGCTCCACACTGCTTTAAACAACTGCCACGCAGCTCCTATTTTTCTTTAAATGCTCAATGGCCCTTGTCTTGTTCACTACCCCAGCTCTGCAACAAAGCACAACCCATACAGCCTCTTCTGCACCTTTACCTCATGCTCAGTTACACGGGCTAACATTTGTTGATTCCTGGAACCTGCATATAGCTCAATCCTGAGAGCCGCCCTGTGCGGTAGGTACTTCCATTAACTCCATTTGTTAGATAAGAAAATGGGCTCTTGGCAGGAGTGTTGGTCTGAGGTCACCCACTGGAAGGATCAGAGCTGGGACAGACTTCAGCCTAAAAAGCCTAAATCTCAGCCTAGGCAGGCTGCTTGCATCACTTGGGTTCCCTGGTTTGTTTCTCTGAGGAGCACATACATGGACTGAAAATTGTAAATGCTCAATCCTGCTACTCAGTTTCCCTCGGTTTCCATGGTGCTGCAAGGTCTTGCTGCCAGGAGGATGGACTGCTGTGGTTCAGGGCTCATATCTGCAGCACTTGGCTTCCCATTCTCATGATCTCTTAGTCTAACAGGGGCCTGGTGGCTGGGCCTGCAGATGCCCAACGAGTAACTGAAAGCAGGATGAAGCTTGGCATCTCTGCCTTCGTGGGGCGGGGGGGGCCACACATCTGTTTTACCTTAAAATTTTGGGTCAGATCCTTGCTCAGCTCTGTGTGTAAGGAGTATTTGTATTACAAGGTCCACTAGCCCCAAATTTACACAGCCTATCTCATCCCCTTTCAATACCGAGGACACGGATATTAACTAATTCTTAGGGACAGCTAATTGGCAGCTTTTTCAACACTCTGTTCTAGATCCCTTGGAGCAATGCCTAGATGTCTCCAGTCAGTGGCCTAAACCTGCAGTCCAAGGAAAGCAGCACCTTGGAGAGACCACCCCATGATGAAGTCACTCCAAAGGGGGGCATTTACCCCATGATTGGAGCCAAGGCCGCCCCACTATGCAGGAGACAACATCTCATGATGGGGACCAAACTGCCCCCTCAAGAGTACCTGGCTCCCCTAGAACCTCAAAGGATCAATCCTGAGACACTGATCAGTCAGACCACAGATTACCTACGGTGTCAGCCATGCAAACCCCAACCCTTCCTTCTGTTCCCCTTTTCCGTAAATCCCTAAAGCTTCTGTCTGTACCTGGAAGACAGATCTTGAACCATTTTATGGCCCTGCTGATCAGAGTTCTTTTCCCACTCTTCACTCCTGCTCCCCTCCTCCATTGCTGGGGCTTTTGTCCGACAACTGTGGTGACACTAGCCAAGGAACTCAGGACTGTACAATGTCTGGTTCCTGGGTGCCGCTCCAATCAGCACAGGGTGGGCCTCAGGCTGCTGGAGTTCTAGCTAAAAGTTTTCAAAAGGGATAATGAGCCATTCTAGGAAATAAGATGGACTTCAAAGAAAGGGTTTTGGATTTGTTCAAATGTCTCTATGTAGACTATTGCATTTGATTTTCAGACAGGCATTTTATTAGCCTCGTTAAATTTTTTTTTTTGGAGGTAAGAATCGCATAATATCATGTGTACCATTTGAAAATGTATACTCGAATGACACTTAATGCCTTCCCCAATGTTGTGCAACCACCACCTCTTTCTAGCTCCAAAACTTTCATCACCCCCAAGGGAAGCCCTGCAGGCATCAAGCAGTTAGTTTTTCTCTGTCCCTCCCTCGCCCCAGCTCCTGGCAACCACAGCTGTGTTGTGTCTCTATGGATTTCCCTGTTCTGGATATGTCACACAAATGGAATCAGACGCTATATGCTCTTTTGTGTCTGGCTTCCGTCACATAGCATGAAAGAAGGTTCACCCATGTTGTAGCATGTGTCAAAACTTTCTTTTTATGGCCGAAAAATGTCTCCTTGTAGGTAACACCCCATCTGGTCCCTAGGATAATTCTCCATTTAATTTTTTGAGGAACCTGTTAGCCTCATTTTAAAAGCAAAAGGCTTAAAGAAATTATGAGATGCCCAAAGTCACGTGAAGAGCCAGCACGGTTGGAGCTCATACCCCCATCCTTCGGAGGTCCCTGAGCACAGGAAGCACCACTCACTCACTCATCAAACATTCCGTGGGGGCCAGAGCTAGCTCACAGGGTGATTTAACAATAACTCTCAGAAAAGAGCTTTCTAATGCCAGAGACTTCAGGAGAGACAAAACCAGGAGACTGTTTTTAATCATAAATCAACAAGACTGTTCACACGTAAATTCCATTAGACCAGCACTGTTTGAACAGGCTGCTGAACACTGTGTCTCCTGTCTTGCCACGTAGTTTCACGTCCTAGTGGGGAAACCGCACTGATTCAGCCACAGAGAGCGTCTACTCTGGCCCCCATCTGCAACTGTCCTTCACCAGCGACATTTCATCGCTGATCCCCAAGGGGGGCGGGGGCGGGCGATTTGGTCCTGAAGTTCTAGTTTGATTCAAGAGCCTGAAAATCCACAGCCAAGAGGGTACCTGTCCCTGGCAGTGCATGCTTAAAGGGTTAAACATCAGAGCCAAGCAAAGAAGGCACCCGGGTCAGCCTCAGCCCAGCTAGGGGTGGAGGAGATGGGGGTGGGCAGGGCTTTAGCATCGGGAAGCTTATTTTTCAGTGGTTTCTAGGGGAATTTTACTCCGAAGAGGCAAATTCTAAGTCTGCCCGGACTTCTCCCGCCTTCCTGACTTGGAGCCTTTGTTGTCTGCGCGGTAGGCTGGCGTGGCGTTGCCCAGGAGGGTTAGAAAACAGACCTGGCTCCCCCGGGCCCCCACCCTCTCTCCACTCCTCCTTCCTGGCCCCCTGACCCTATTAATCAGAACCTTACAAAGTCCGCGGAGGAGGACTCCCCGCCTGCCTCATCCTAATCTCATCTTGGCCCCACGCGGGGACGACGCCCCCGCTTGTTAGGCCAAGGCGACTCGCAGCGCTGCAGCCTCGCTGTGCGGTGGAAAATTCCATGCCCCCCC